CACGATGGTAGTTGCATGTGGATTCATTCAATTTCAGATGTTGAGTATTTTGTTAGTGCGATGACAGTCATACAGAGAACAGCATAAAACATGGCTTATTTATACATAACACAAAAACCTAGGTCAGTCTGATGACCGACCAGTATCGACGTTTCGGGCCGTGTTCAACGAACCTTCTTCACCTCTTTACCTCAAAGATGAGTGAGACACAGGCTTTGAACGATGCTATTGGTCAATCATCCGCTTTTCGCGTTGTGCATAAATGAACTGTATTTATGTTGTTTTTAGTAATCCATAAAGAACACAACAACGAACCACTCGGCCACCTTGGAATGTTGACTTTGAACGAGCGTTGTTAATCTCGGTGTTGTACGTTGTTTACTCGATGTTCTGTAAACAGAATTTTCCACTACACTGGTGCGTCATCATCTGTAAGTAGCGACTAATCTTCCATCTTCTGATAGATGGAATCTTCATCACAGCGGAATTTCACATCGGGATATTACATAAAGTCAGCCATTCAGTTTCGATGACTGATTATCTATACGAGTGGTGGACGCAGATCCGTTAGACAGTGTCTCAAACGTTCCCGACTCTGTGTTAGCGTTTGAGCTTTGGCAGAAGATAACCTCAGCTTGAATCAGAGCCCTTCCATATATTTGCTCCAGGTTATTCTTGGTCCTCCTGGGGATTTTGGACTAGTCAATTAGGCAAGCAGTAGCTGTTTAGTCTTCGTTTCTGAAAGCTATCGAAAGACACGCCCAAACCGTTGGAATAGGATTATTATAATAATTTATTTTTCACGCTGCATATTTTGCATGCACTGCTCAATCAGTGATATGCATCAGACATCATAAATCTGGATTACTGTAATGTTTAAGCTGTTTGTATCAGATGACGATAATAAACAACAAGGCGGAAGTCAGTTGACCTACGTGTTACAACAGTTACAATATTCCTCTTTTGGCAGAAGTAAACAAATTACTTACCTCCTTAAAATTTTCTGAAATGAACAAATAATAGATGCATATCGTTCCAATTTGATTGATCATGAGAAACGTATTGACGGTATTCCTGAAAAAAATCATGTTGGACACTTCATATGAAAAACAAATCGACAAGTAATACCTTCCCCAGTGAGCTTTCTTTCGGAGTAAAACCGGCCCTTGCTTCATTGCCAATTCTGCAGTTTGTCCGTAGTCCGCCGATGGAATATTGCATCTTAAATCGTTATAGTTTTTCCTGGTTATATTACTGTCCGTATACTTTATCATTTAATAGCATAACTATGTGCCAATATAATTTTCTCCATTACGTATGCTCTCATGTGTGAATCTGAATTTATCATTTGATAGAAAGGTTAAATATAATATAAGAAACTTGTCACACATTCATGATGTGATTGGCCAACTGGAGACTACTTATAATTTCAGCGAGAACGAGGGTACTGTCTCGTAATGAAATCTCAATGTATAAATCGAGAGAGTCATGCAGAAATTTTAAGGCATGCATATGCTGAATAAGTATTTTGACGTTTCGTCTCAAGGAGAAGTAATATTCTCAAGTGTTAAGAATTCTACGAAACTTTACAATGTAGAATTCCGTCTATAAGAATGTGCTCTTAACCGTAGCAGCATCGTTTAGAGATACAGAAGAAGAAACTGCCCTGACAAAAACCAGACAGCCGTCGAAGATTTTCAGTTTTTCATTTGTGATTGCAGGTGGAAGACTGAGAACGGTTATGTCTACCGTTCTTCACTCAGCGAACTCATGATCGCCCAACTCTTCAAACAGTATACTCCGGACATGAATCTTGTTAAATAAAACCACCATTTTTCGGATCGAGCGATCAATCTTCAGACGACATTATGCAACATTAAGTGCAATACACAATATCAGCAAAGTCGTTGCGTACTGCGGAATGATCTTAACATGCAATTATGATCAAGCGGATAGGTTTAGATATAATTCAGTCTTGGCTTTGCTCGTAAACTATTTTTCTGTTTTCTTATAGGCTCATGACAAGTCCTTACTGCCGTCAAACTATGGGTCATAGAAAAGTACACATTGAGTAGCTGTTTCAGCCGGATCTGTCGCATATTCACTGACGCTATTGCTTGAAGAATGTCTGGCAAGATGTTGTTTAGGATTTATTTAGCAGTGACGAAAGTATAATGTAGGTATAACTTACATGAAGCATAACTTCTGCGAAGAACGTATCAAAATTCTCATCGTGTAGGTGTTGACGACGATCACCAGAATCATACACACAAATCCGGTCTAGTCAAGCAGCTGAAAGTGAAAAGAGTGTTCTAGTACGGACAAAATTATTTACCCATAACCCGGCGTTGAAGAACGCCAGCGGAAGCGAAAGGTCACCGGTGCCAGCCATGCCTTTAACGAAATTCATCATCGCCTGTTCCTCACTAAATGATTCGCAGTGATTTAGTCACAACGCGTTCATGACACGAGGAACGTCACAATCATTTCCATTACGTCATCAGATTTGGCAGCGACCTGCGCAGTCTCTTTAGCATAATGTACATTCGTTGTTCTTCCTGTTGAATCCTGACCAGTACAGGGATTTTTCTGATCTCGCAGGTGTCTGATCTGTAAGAAATTAGGTCCAATTCTGAGCTGAAGGAAACCTTATGCTCAGGAAACATCGAACTGGTCGTCGATGAAATCGAATTCTCGCGTTCCAAAGGCATAGCCATGTCTGAAATAGAATAAATGACATTAAATCTTTCTCTGACAGTCGGACATCTGACATATCGCATTGTGTTACCAGTGAATACTCGGTCTGGGTGATAGAAGTTAAAGAACTTGCAGTAGGCACGGAGAAAAGTGAAGATCCCTAAGTGGGTCGTTCTCATTCAAGAATCATGAATGCCTGAAAAACTTAAACATCGCTTGCGTCATTTTCAGCTACCCACAATGCCATCTGTTCAGAAAGGGCAGAAATGCTATAAGTAGACATTTTGGATGTTTACACTGATTTTGAAGCACTTATAGAAAAACGTGCAATTCGCAGTTATTCTATAATTATATTTACAAGCTTACGCTTTACGAATAGCCGTGAGCTCCTAATGTGCTAAGAAAGGATAGCAGCGTGAGTTGTCCAAAGTAATAAAAATGATTGACTGATTTACTCCCTCGTTCAGGCGAGCGGTTGCTAATGTTGTATTCATACATCAAGTGAACATGCGGCTACTTTAAGCATTAATTCTGTTATGAAAAGTCTCCTAAATCGTAAAGATGACACATTTTTAATCAACAAATTCAAGCCCGAAATGCCTCCTTTTAGTAATAAAGAAACATTTGTCATGGTACATTTCAACTGTTGATACCGGATTCTCACGACTTAAGAACCCTATCCATGGGGGCCATTTAAGCATGCCACGTTTTGATGATAGCTGATTACTTATAGTGTATCGGATACAGCATAAAACAGATCTTTGTGTTGGGCTGAACAACCGCATATTCGAGCACCAGCAAAATTTAATACAAATTTTATGTTAAGTTTAAACCCATTCTTACTTTTCTTAGATACAGAGAAATATCAACAGGCTGGCCAACAAGAAATGAGCAGATTCCGGATGCTCCAGGTCTCGTCAGAAGAATACCTACCAACCGTTTACTGAACACGACTGTGAGCGCAATGCGACGCTACATCACACGCAGATAACATATGGTAAACACAAGAACATGAAACGAAAATGCCTAAAACACGGATGTAATCTGTAACAGCAATCCCAGTTTTTATGTATTTACAGAATACTTTGGTTTCGATAAGGAATTTCGTTTATCCTGTTTTGGACAAGTCGAAGTGATTGATTTTTGTTAACACGCAATCAAACCATGCGCTCAAGATAAGCAGCTTCTTGAACGGTAAGACTGAATGATAATTGGATTCCACACAGCGAAGCAACGGGATGAAGGGTCCGGTATAGGCCATGGATGCCTGGGGGTATGTATCGATTAGTCCATGGTATTTCTGCAACTTAAACGTCAATTACATAATCAAGATGGTTTAACATTCGAACGCCCGTGCTGCACGGCAGGGTGTTCAACCGGTGCAGATTCCTTCCCTTTGTAATAGGAAGTTAATGCCCCACGTCTATCCATGCCATTACGCAGCTTAAGGTTCTCTCGAGATATACAATAAGCCACCTGATTATTTAAGTCACGGGATGATGTCTGGTTTCTCCTAAAAAGTAAACGTCACAGTGTTCGCCTTCTCACATACACTACCTGAAGAAGCTTGTTTGATGTAAAATATCAGAAACGCAGAAACGGGTGGGTGAAGCAATGGACTTCTTCTGTACAACGTTATCTGCATTGCATTATTTTTGTGACGCTACTCTATATCTGATTTTGCTTTACTTGAAGAAGACTACCACAAATTTAGCAAAAATATGATCATCGGTTTGTTCGAGTCACGGTTCTTCTCTGGTGGCCACCAACTGCATAGTTGTGACGTTTAAAACAAAACCGCAGTTGAAGATCCAACCAAAGAAATCCTAGGTTTCTGGGTCACACTAGACAGTGAGCCGCACTGTTCGTACAAGACATGGCAGGTGAGGATATCTACATATAAACTGACGATCAATGAACAACCACTCAATGAGTGTGGCGAGGTGCAGACGGTGGAACAAATCACGCACCAGTGTCGTATCTACACTGACTACGGAAGAACAAAGGCGATCCACTTCATCTTTCATGACGCGGCATAAGGGCTACAAAAACTGGAAATGAAACTACGTGAAGTAAAGAAGTCAAAATCTCATACCTCGTAAAGTTCTGAAGGCTTCAATAGACTTTGTCTTAAGGCAATTAACAAAATGGAAATCGCTCACAACAAGCTCCTTCATCTCTGCCGTTCTCTCGCTCCTTGCTCCAATGGTTTTCACTTACAGGACTTCTGAAAACGAATGGAATAACCATTGTTATAGCATTTCGTAACATAACTTATCTAGAGATAGCGGGATTCTGGACAACAAGAAGCCGGCATTGAACTCCGGAGGATCGGGTTCGAAACCAAAGAAAAGGCGATCTTCATCTTGACCGCGAACCCTCTTCAGTAAAAAATTTAGCTAAAGTTGTTTCGTTGCAACCAGCCGATAAACAAGTTAGAAGTCGCTGCCTTGCGAATAATAGAGGTAGCATGATATTCGGGTGTGGTAATATCACAATGCGTCAGAGATACAGCCATGATGCCTGACGTGAGTGCCTCTTAGGGCTAGAGATCATATCCACACACCTGATGCTGTTTGTCATGTGATAATCAGGAAGAATTGTACTCCCGTTGTTGTTGTTGTTGATACGAAGCACCATATATCATGCTCTGTTGCTGAACTGTTGACAAACACAATACAGTAGGAAGTAAAAAATTCCACCATCGTAATCATGTTCTCTTTGGCATCCGAATTTATCAAAGGAGCCAGCAGCTCCAAGCAACAAATGAATTAGAGAAAAAGCAAAAGAACACGTAGACTATTCCTGGAATAATTGACAAACCCTGACTTCGGCGATATTTGCGTCCAGAATTTCCGCGATTAATCATTCTGCTTTTTACGCACATCATTTGAATAAATTTAATGTGAATTTATAACTACAGACAAAAATTGTGAGCAAAATATGTTGCATACAGACTTCATTAACATATATGTGACGTTCTCCAAACTAATGCCCAAGAAACAGCAAGCTTCCAATGTCTACATGAGACAGTTCTGCTGAAAACAAACAATCTTAATCAGTGGACTTTTCATGCACAAACAAAAAAATCATTATATTTCAATATGTTATAGATGATGAATTCAATAATGAACTAACCAAACGCGAAACTTCAGGAACCGCAAAAAAATTATCGATTTATGGCCAACATCTTATTTTATTTTCATTTTACGTACAGAAGCAACATAATATGTACAGCGTTGTCGCCCTGTCACTAGAAAACTACTAAACCAGCAGTACGGACCGAAAGCTCTATTCTGGCACTGAACGTATGAACCGACGCAAAAGGCAAAAAAGACTTCAGAATCCAACCTGGCTCTTCACCTTAAAAAAAAATGATGAGACGTGGGTCGAAACGTCGGTACTGGTCACTCATGGAATTGACCAAATTGCTTACATTAAGTATAAACAAAGCAACCATGTTTTGTGCTGCGTGACCATCAATGCATCAACCAAAATTCTCAATTTAAACGACAAACATTTCTACACTTTCTGTGTAATACGAATTCACACATGAAGGAATTTATTACTGCTTCTATGATACGCATTGTAGCCTAAAATTTGACGAAAGGGCACAAATTTCTCAGGAAATTGGCAGTTGTTTTCAAAATCAACATAGTTTTTAGAATGACCAATCCGATCACACCTTAAGTCGGTGCTGCTGCTGTTGTTTTGCATTGTTCGACATGACAAACACTTTGCTACTGCTTTATCGAGCTGCCACGTAACACTTTCGTTGCATCATGCGTATAAATATTGCGAACGTGCTTCTTCTATTCTACGGAGCTTCTTCTTTATTTTTTCCGTATTTTTCTAAATAAAAACCAATAATTATTATACGCAAAGAGCAAGTTCATAGTGAACCAAAAATCCAGTATGATTTTTTAAACAAAGATTAATCCGTAACCTTGAAACTAGTTTCCAAATTAAGGTATACATAAAACTTGGTCACGTCGAACTGAAATCTCAAATCACGTAACAATATCAAATCGAAAGTTTTCATGCACGTGATCATTCAAGTTTCACGGCTTTCAATATTTAACGTTATATTACGTCCGGTGGACGACAGGTGGAGACAGAATTTTAGACAGGTCCTACTGTATCTGAGAAGGAGACACTAATAATAGAAAACAGGTCTGATTCGAGTTAGTCTTTCTAAATTCGATGTTGACCCCGAGATCCCGAGGGCCTGTGGCCGTGGTTCTTTAGGCGACTGAAAATTTGTTATTGTACGTGGATTTATAAAAGCATGACATCTGTGGTTCCTTGAGCAATGTAGACAACTTCAGATGTCATTGGAAAACATTTAAAAGGCGTTAATAGGTTTTCAGCAAGATCGCCGTATCCAACCAGTAAAACAAGATCGAGATGAAAGGTGAAGGTGTCGAGCGTGAAGACCTTCATTTTCGTCACAAACTCTGGATGCTTTGATGACAACAGATCTTCTTCAGGCTTCCATATGGATAAACTCTCCATGTACACTTTATTACAGGAATTGCGTATTTCATGTCATAGCTGATTCGGTGTATGAGTACATTTAGAAAAACAAGTTGGATAGCTCAAACTGAAAAAACGGCAATTAACTAATGCCACTCTATGATATATAAGAGTCAACGACAAAAACTCTAACCTAATATAATACCGTAAATATTTCATATCACATTTTAACTTTCTCAGAAGCGCTCCCACTTTTCAGCAATTTAATAGTTGCTTTCTCTTCAGCCACTCTAAGACCACATATCGTTTAATATTGCCATTAGGAGTACCGTCAGTGTAACAGACCGCGTAAAGGCCTGCTGAGACTTAATATCTTTTCTCTCCTCTTTGATGCCCCAAGATTATTATGCAAACAGAAACTGCAATGCATCAAATGAGAGAGCACCTATTGTACTCTCACCGGTACAGAAAGAGGATCAGTTTTAAGAATTCAAAAAATGGTGAACGCTTCACTAAAAGTCAGGCGCTGCCCTGTGCACAATGGCCAGAGCACAGGACCACGGTGAGAGATTCATTACTGTTAGAGATCCGCCAGAATCACAGCCATGAGCATCGAGATCATAAATGGGCTCAGTGCTGAACCTTGATGGACCACTATTCGTATAAAAAATTGTTATGTTTAAAACCAGGTACTTTCTCATGGTTCACCAAATTGCCGTTGTACTGAATCACAGGTCTAGAAATACTATGTAAACGCGCTTGCTGATTTCTCTGTACGTTTCGAGGAATGAACATAAGTATTTATTAACTGTAAAACTTACTTCAATGATCTCTGCAAATACTGGTATTTGGCAAACAGGTTCGAATGCTTTCGCACTGTTGATATCAGAGAAGCAAGTGCTCGTAAAAGAAACAACTGCTAGCGCCGGTATTTTCAGTCGATCACAGTGTACCATTACTATAACGTTGTTAAAGTCATTTATAAATATTCAGAAATCAGCTCGATTACGGAACAGGCAAAACCGTACGAATTTGAGTGCCTTTTATTAGGCGATATTGCTGCTCTCTCAGGTACGCCTCTTGAGGAGTTTATCAATAAAATATACGCGATTCCGTCACTTTAATTCAAAGTTAATTATTTTGCATTTAGTCGCGAGAACTGAATAAGACGCACTGCGAGTATTAATGATTACTGAATAGTGCTAAAAACTACATAAAAGACTCAAGAATACGTTAAATCGGCTGAATAACAAATGACTGAACGACAACAGCGGACGTAGGATCCAGAATCAGGCATTACTGCTCAGATAAGCTGTATGTTGCACTGAAAAATTCAAGGAGCATTTTTCCTTCAAGCAACACCACCGGTGCCACGTACATGTGTCGGCATCAGCCATTCGTATAATTCTTATCCAGCGACAGGAAGTGTCGATCAGCTTACTATCTCCTGATTTCTATAAATCTAGCGTGACATCCATGTCGCCGTGAAGAGTCAAAAAAACAGGAAGAGAGAAGATCACATGACAGACCAAATGAACCGGTGTAGCTCTGAACATTTACCATGAAGTCTGAAAGGCGGACTAATGAGGCACAGGTGAGGAGAGAGGGTGAGATTTCTTCAGAGTCACGGCAAACCAATCGATAGCAAAAAAACTTTTGCAGATAACAAATTTAGACGCAAATATAATCTGTTTTTATTTTGGAAATGACTGTGACGAACATCGGCATTGTGGTAACGGAGTAAACCGCTGGACGAGCTTTAAGCCTGTATTGACTATTATCCATTAGTGAAAACGATTATCAAAAACAATTAAGTAAGGATAATTTCCAAACAGATTTTTGGGATTGCATATTTGTGTTTATGGACTCTGCAATTTCAACAAACAGTTTGTTCTGGTCAGGCTTGCTCCTACTTAGGAGTAATTTCTGTTTCTGAATCACACAGGAAAGAAACGAAGAGAATTTTGTAAACGAATGTTTGTCTTCCTTACACTTTCACGATAGGGCCATTTTTGAAACCCGTTGCTTCATGAAGTTCATGGTGGAGCATTATCTTAATTTCCATGCGATCAACAAGGAGTGCTTCTTTTTAAAGCAGAGTCCACAGCCACATGGCAAGCGTCGTATGCCGTCTC